AATGAAATTTATAGTTGGTGCCTAAACGATAGTCTACTCAGTTCAGACTATAACAGAAAATATATTGAACTGAATATTAATAACTGTTTTGGAGAAAATAAGACGGAGAATATAGATGCAATGATTTTTTTGTGTGCATTTAAGGCAGTAATCAGAGGATATTTTATTAAATGAAATTAAAAAAAATAAAAAAAATGCAAAGTTAAGTCAATAAAAATCTCAAATTAAGTGACCTTTATACAGAATTAAGAAAGCTAACTCAAATTATTGAACAAAACCCAACAGCTGAAAATTCTAATAAAATAATTGCGGTAAAGGAAAAACTAAATCAACTGCTAATGGAAAGAATAGTTAAACATTTAGACAGATCGAAGCTTAAATATTACTCTAAAGGAAATAGAGCGGATAAAATATTATCCCAAAAACTTAGACAGCAAAAAGGATCAAATACGGTGGAAAAACTAATAGATAAAGATAAAATATTTGTAACATCTAAAGACAAAGGGCAGCAATTCAATGAGTTTTACAGCAAACTGTATAATATTCCATCAACAATGACTGTAGAGGTTATCAAACAATATCTCGACAAAACAAATATACCTCAGATTACGGACATGGATAGATTTTCTTTGAATAAAGAAATAACTATTGAAGAAGTCAAACTCCGGGTCCAGATGGATTTGGTAATTTATTTTATAAGTTATTTATAGAACAAATTAGCCCCTACTTAACCAATACCTTTAACCATGCGGCTAAAATAGGCTCTTTTTCAGTAGAGATGGTTAGAGCAAACATCTTACCTATTCTAAAACAAAATAAAATACCTACAGATGTCAGAAATTATCATTCTACTTATAGACGTAGATACTAAACTTTATGCCTCAATTCTGGCTACCAGATTGAAAAAAATATTTCCAACAATTATACATCAAGATCAAATAGGATATGTTCCAGGAAGAAGTTATTATACTAGCATCAGAAGAATTATAAATATCCTAGATGATGCTACAAGAAAGAGGGTTCCATTGTTGACTCTGTCTATTGATGCGGAGAAAGCATTCGACAGAGTCAACTGGAACTACCTAGAAGCTGTATTAACACACTATTCTAATGTGGGGTGGATTAAAAAAGCTATTATGGCTCTGTATGTTAAACCAACAGTGCGTTCAAAAACGTCCAGATATAAGCGCTCCATGGTTTCAGTTGAAAAAAGGAACACAACAAGGTTGTCTACTCTCCCCATTATTATACTTGCTCTCCATTGAACAATTAGCTGACAACACAAGAAATAATAAAGAAATGAATGGTTATAAAATATCTGATAAAGACAAAAAAAAAAGTCTGTATGCAGACAATATTTAAATTATGTTAACTAATCCCAGTGTCTCATTAGATATTCTCATTGAAGAAATAGAGAGATATAGTCTGATATCTAATTATAAGATACATATTAATAAGTCTATGATTTTAGACATTAACCTAGATAACAGAAACAAAAATAAAATCAAAGACAAATATGAATTTTTATGTGCAGAAGAGAAAATGGACTACTTAGGCATTAAATTGACCAGAGATACATATAGATTCATGGAGACAAACTTTTTGGATCTTTTACAAAAAATAAATAGATGATTAAAAGACCGCAAAAACCTGGCAATAACTTTCTGGTGTAGAATTAATGTAATACAAATAAATTCATAGGTCATTCGAAAATGGAATTATATGTTCCAAATGCTACTCTTACATATTCATAACAGCTGGCTAGATATTATCCAAAGAAGTTTTATGCAATACATATGGAAAGGCAAAAAACCCAGATTAACACAAGTAACATTGGCACAGAAGCTAAATAAGGGAGGATAGGCATATCCCATTATTCAAAATAATTATAGAGCAGCGATAATTCTACATGTATACAGGATGCAGCTATCTGACAATATTAATGAAGGATGGTATATGATGAGGCCAAAGCAGGAGAGGTTCAACATTTAGAAAGTTTGGTTTGGAATACCAATCTCGCCACATTGCATTGGAGAAGCCTGGTTGCTCGCCTGCTGCCTCTGGACTATGGCCCCCTGTTAAAAGACTTTATTTCGCCTGCAGAAAAGCTGTATTCGTGATTTTCTGCCGGTTGTTCGGTAGATTCAATCTACCGAACAACCGCACGAATGAATAGACCACCTGGGAGCTGGAGTGTGCCGGCAATTAACCTCCCTGAAGCTGCGGTTAACTGCAGCTTAATTGAGGAATGCTGGGTGGCCACCATTCGTATCCCAAACACGAGGTGTCCACCAGGTGGGAGACCTGCATAAAAGCCGGGCAGGTAGCCCTCATTAAACAGACCACTGCTTGACCCTCAACACAGAGCCTTGTCTCGTCTTTGGGGGGGATTTACTGAACGCTGATAGAGACTGATTGCTAGGAGTGTAAGCCGCTTGGATGCTTTTCCTATTCGTCTGCTAGCAGCGATTTGTATGGTTCCTGTTTGTATGTTTGGAGTGCTATATTGGATGCCATTCGGGAGTTTGGAGCATTCACTTATTGGTGGTTCGTGTGTTTGGTGTTCTGCATTACCTGTGCCTGCATCTCTGGAAAGGGGGCCAATCACCTAAACGGTTTTTACCCCTTTTGTGCAAAACGGTCCGTTACACATGAAAACAGACAAAAAACAATATCCCAATATAATTTTAACACATCTGATGAAGAACTGGAAAAAAATCTAAACAACTTTAAAAATAAAAAATAAAGTACCAGGTAATTTGGACTTGAAATTTCTTCAACAACAAGTCTGTGATATTAATTTAGATAACTGGACACAAGCTAGAATAATAAGTATAGCTCAGTTATTAATAAAGGGAGTAATTAAACCCTTTTCCCAACTGACAAACAAATTTAATTTACCGTCAAAAGAACAATTTTCTGAGAAAAAAAAGCTTTTCAATGTCCCATTTAATGAAACCAGGGTATATTTTGATCAAAAGAATAACCACATTATTTAATTCACATCCGGCAGATAAACCACTCTCAAAAGCTTTATTTTTGAGTAGATCATGTAACAAGGAAAAAACACACACACAGCTCTAAATATCTGGAAGAAAGAACTGAAAATTAACATAGAAATTAAAAACTGGGGCTCTTCATTATTAAGTTTCTAAAAATACACACTCATTAAATCTAATGGAATCTCATTTGGTATTTAGTTTCAGAAAAATTTAATAAGATGTTCCCCACATTAGACCATCTATGTTGGAGATGTGGGCTGACTATAGGAACATATAAACATATATGGTGGGACTGTATAAAACTAAACCATCTGTGGGAAGCAATACACATATTTATTTCAACAAATGTAATTTTTTTGTGTTGAAACTATCTCCAGAAGTAGTTCTGCTTCACCTAAACTGGCCCCCTATGCCCCTGGAGATCAAAACTATAATAACTTACCTATATTTAGCCACTAAAATTGTCATATTAAGAAATTGGAAAAATTGAAATTCTATTCCCTGGGAGTTAAAAAACAACTTGAATTTCAGATCAAAATGGAATTAATGTTAAGTAAACAACACTTGAGTAAGAAGCTATCCATCTGGAACACTTGTTGGGAACTTATATAAGATAGTTGAAGAAAAACAGATTAATAGCTCATTTTAAGCAGATCAGTGTTACTATAAACCCCTACCATATAGTTCATAACTATGGACAAACATTAATTTTCTTTTCTCTTTGGCATTTTCTAGTATCAACTATGCATTATTCTGTCTTTGAAAGAAAATGGTTGTTTGTATTGTTTATGTATGTATATATGTATGTATGTATGTGATTACAAAGATAGCTTACATCCACTCTATATTAAATCAAATATTTGGTATTATTTGGCATGTTATGGAGGTTTCCTCCTAAGTTTAGTTATCTTAAAAGCTGATTTGGATATACACAAGGGAAAGCTATTTATTGTAAAGTCTGTGCTGTTTTTTTTTTATTATTGTTTACAAACTGAAATATTTAATACAGAATATATTAAAAAATGTTTACTTTTATATATATATATATATATATATATATATATGTAGCCCGTGAAGTTACACAGGCTGCATTATCTGAAATGCCCAGTAGATGGCACATGGACTCAGTATGCTGTTAATAAAACATTGAGCTTTGATCACATGACTTGCTGAAATCAAGAGAGGAGTGTGGCATCATCGCAGGGCCTGTCAGGACTTCCTGCACAGCTCTGAGGGAGGAGGATTCTAAGAGTGACCACATGCTGAGCCAGAGAAAGGACATGTGAGAGACTGTAGCACAGAGATAGGACCTGGCTGAGAGAACTTGTTTCACCCAAGATCACACCAGCTGAGAGAGAGGGACCTGCAGGAAAGGAAAGAAGACAAGCACTGAGTCCAGACGTCTGGCGAATCCAGTGAGAGGAGACTGCTGCTGACTGACTGGTTAATTGTGTTGTGAGGGTAAGCCAAGCCTCTCCCTGTATCACCACAGGGCACCTGTCTCCTCACTCACAGTAAAGACTCTGAGGTCCCGTGACGGACATTACACATCTGAGGCTGCTTCAGTGACCCTGTGAAGCAGGACTTATAAGGGCCCCAACTCTCCTATGTGCACCAACGGCCGCTAGGGCGAAGATAAGGGGGTGGGGCGCAGGTGTGCTGGTGGGTGAGTGAGGAAAATCCCCATTTGCATTGTTATCTGTGTTACTCTATTGTATTTTCCTATGTATGTTGGTTCAGTTGCTACTTTCCATATAAAGTTAGTCCCAGTTAGACTGTGTCAGTCTCATTGCACCAAGTATGTTCCCAGTGGGACCCCACATCCCTACCCCGGATGCTCCACTGGGTGGAGGCACTGCCGCAGACATGTACCCCAGCTCCCAGATAGCGGAGGCTCAGGATCCGCCTGTCAGGCATAGTGAGTTAACTAGGTTTGGGGACCCCAAAGACACTAGGGGGCACCCCCAAAACCCCGTTACAGATGGAGGCACTGCTGAGATGTATTGGGGTACAACCAGTGAGAATAGGTTAAGTCCTCAGGCCACTCCCTCCTTTGTGAAACAGTGGGCCCAGCAAAGAAATGTACCATTACAGCAAGCTGTGATGTTATGCAAAGTCCCATCCTGCTGTGAGATGAATCACGTCATCTTGTGTATAGAAATTCGACTGGGAATAGAAATGGCGACCATCAGAGATATCCTGCAGGATTCTGAAGGCCAAACTTACATGTTAATATATTGTCATACGGGCTTGGGAGACCATGAGATGCCTACCAACATTCATTTACATGGAGCCCCGGATGGAGGATGCTCCTTAGTGTACGCTCTCCTTGATAAGAAAGAAAGGGTCTCACTGCAACAACCCTTTAAATTAGAACGGAAAGATTATGTCACAGAAAATTATTCTAAGCTCCTGACCCCCATCTCCGGAAAGGCCGGAGCCATTCCTAAACAAGCTGCCCATCCTCCTAGAGGACAGGGGATGATTACTCCTAAAGCAGAATCTCATCCATCTACAGCATTACTGAAACCAGACAACCCTGAAGTACACACCCTGCCTACAGGAGGTAGTGATGTATCGGACATACTACAGAAACTCTCAGAAGCCATAGTGACGGCAAACCACACCCATAGTTACCGCAAACTAAAGGTGTTTTCTGGGAATCAGCCTGTTCCTGCAGGAGAAGAGCCTTTTGAGGTCTGGAAGGATAATGCTATGCAGTTGTTGGAGGAATGGTCTTGTACGGATACCATAAAGAAACAGCGGTTGGTGGAGAGTCTTCGTTTTCCCGCTACAGACATGATAAGACTGTACAAGGGAGTAAATGGGCAAGCTACTGCGCACGACTATCTACAAGTTTTACAGGATGCTTATGGGAAATCAGAAGATTTGGATGATCTGTTGGTTAAGTTCCTAGCCACTAAGCAGAAGGAGCACGAAAAAGCCACTGACTATATCAACCGGTTACAGCTATCGCTTGGAAAGTTATTCCATAAAGGAGCAGTCACTGCCTCTGAGTTGGATGCTCGGCTATCTAAGCAAATTCAGAGAGGTGGTTTGACCAGTAATCCAGTTATGATTCTGCTGAGAGCCAAGTTGGATGATAAAGTTCTGCCTTATTCCACATTAATAAATACAGCCAGGAGATTGGAAGACCAGATGTGTCCACCCCTACAGAAGGAGAAAGAGAATACAGAACTGTCAGCTCTTAGGAAGAAGGTGGCTGAATTGGAGCTTTTATGCAAATCACCACCAGAGAGAGCAGATCTTCCCCCTGGAAGTGGGGGGCAACACAGGAAGACTCAGAAAAAGCTGTTTCCTGAGGATTCACCCCGCCGAGGGAACTGCTTTAAATGTGGAAAGTCAGGGCATTTTCAGCGGGAGTGCCCTGCGGATTCCATGGAGGTGGATGTGGGGGTGCTGGCAACCGAGCTCGGGGAGACTCAAATGACCAGGTCTTACAAGCGAAGGAAGACCCGGCCTACATATAGTCTATCTGTAGGGGCCAAGATTGGGCCTAAATCTTTGATACACGTGCAAGTGGAAGGAATTCATGCTTCAGCATTGCTAGATACAGGTTCTCAAGTCACCATTATCTACAGAGACTTCTATGAACGTCATTTGAAACACATTCCTATGGAACCTGCAGGAGAGTTTCAGCTATGGGGCGTTGGGTCTCAAGCTCAACCTGTGGAGGGATGCATAAAAGTGACCATAACTATTCCCCAGTTAAATACCGGGATGATATGTCCTATGGAGCTGGAAGCTTTGATATGCCCTGCAGCCAAGAAAGTGTGTGCCCCAATAATATTTGGTACTAATGCAAAGATGGTACAGGATGTATTCAGGGCCTATCTGACAGAAGTGGGAGATGTCTCCTTAGACCGACTGATGGAGGTCAGCCCTGTCCTAGGAAAAGAGTGTCGACGACTAGCCCTTGCAACAAAACCAGGGTTGTGCCACTATTCAGGAACAGAACCTGCATTTGTGAAGCCTGGTGAGACCAAAACCTTACGAGCCATAGCCTCAATGCACCATGAAATGTTGGGGGGAACTGGACAATACCTTATTGAGTCTCTGCCTGAAGAGGATCAGAAGAAGGGGTGGACTCTCATACCTGAGATAAAAGATTGGCGAAAAAGGTGGTGTCGGAGTTTTCCTGTGATGGTACAGAATTTAACCCCCACGGAAATCCGGATTGATCGTCATCAGAAGATTGGTGTAATACACCTTTTAGATCAAGTTTCGTCCATCATGTCTGTGAGTGCAGAACAGACGGATCATGTGAAAGCACCTTTAGATTTTGATCTAGAAGATTCTCCCCTACCACAGCAGTGGAAAGACAGCCTTCGTTCAAAACTGGCCACCCGAGAGGGAGTGTTCTCCAGAGCAGAGATGGACGTGGGGTGTTCTAAGAGTGCCACCCATGCTATAAGACTTGCTGATCCTACTCCTTTCAGAGAAAGGTCAAGAAGAATACCCCCTCGAGATGTGGAAGATGTCCGGGACATACTCCAGCAGATGGAAGGAGCAGGCATCATCACAGAGTCCCGGAGCCCCTATGCCTCACCTATTGTGGTAGTGAGGAAAAAGAATGGTTCAGTTCGGCTATGTGTGGACTACCGTACTCTGAACAAGAGGACTGTGCCAGACCAGTACACCTTGCCCCGGATAGAAGATCTTCTGAACGCCCTATCTGGCAGCCAGTGGTTCAGTGTGCTTGACTTGAGGTCTGGATATTATCAGGTACCCATGAAGAAGGAAGATCAGGAAAAGACAGCTTTCATCTGCCCTTTGGGGTTCTTCCAGTTTACCAGAATGCCACAGGGAGTCACAGGAGCTCCTGCTACTTTTCAGAGGCTGATGGAGAAAACTGTGGGGGATATGAATCCCAAAGAGTGTCTAGTGTATCTAGATGACCTAATTGTTTTCGGGAAGACACCAGAGGAGCATGAACAAAGATTGCTAAAGGTGTTGGATCGACTTCAAGCTGAAGGCCTGAAGCTATCAGTGGACAAATGCCGATTTGCCCAGAACTCTGTCACTTATGTGGGGCACATAGTCTCCGCTGAAGGAGTAGCCACAGATCCTGCTAAAATTGAAGCAGTGCTGAATTGGCCAAGACCAAATAACATCGGTGAGTTGCGGTCCTTTCTCGGATTCTGTGGTTACTACCGAAGGTTCGTGAAAGACTACTCAAAGATTGCTCGAGAGTTACATGACCTGCTGAAGATTATCTCTGACGTAAAGGGTGTTAAGGCACCATATCCTAAAGACCCCTTTGGAGAGAAATGGACTTCAGGATGTGAAGATGCCTTTCTGACGCTGAAGAAGAGACTTACAGAAGCTCCTGTCTTAGCCTATGCAGACCCTGAGAAACCATATATCCTCCATGTGGATGCCAGTATGGAAGGCCTAGGGGGTGTACTGCACCAAAGTTATCCAGCAGGATTGAGGCCGGTGGCTTACATAAGTAGGAGTCTTACAGGTGCAGAGAAGAACTATCCAGTCCATAAATTGGAATTTCTGGCACTCAAGTGGGCCATCGTGGATAAGCTGCATGACTATTTGTATGGGGCAACATTCGAAGTAAGGACTGACAACAATCCACTTACCTACATCCAGACTACAGCTAAGCTGGATGCTACAGGACATAGGTGGTTGGCTGCCTTGTCAAACTACAGTTTCAGCCTGAAGTACAAGCCTGGGCCCAAGAATGTCAGCGCAGATGCCCTGTCCCGCAGACCTAGACTCCCCCCTCACCAAGAAGAAGAGGAGTGGGAAGAGATCCCTGGGCCGGGGGTAGGAGCCTTTTGTCAGATGTTTGTGGTGGCCGAGAGTCAAGAAGAATTTGCCGAGCTAAGAGGGATAGACTCCATTAGCCACTCTCCCGAAGCTGTGCCTGAGGTGTTCCATGCTCCAGTCATGCTTCAACAGTGGTCCAGTATAACCACAGAAGACAAGAGGAAGGCTCAAGCGCAGGACTGGTATATTGGGATAGTTATCAGAGCAATAAAGACTAAGAATCCTAAATTGCTGACTTCTCTACCTGTGAATCAAAGAGAATTATACCGAAGAGAATGGAGCCGACTACATCTCGAAGATGGAGTACTCTATAGGGTCGTGAAGTATCATGATCACCCTGACAGAAAACAATTGGTACTACCGCACCGATACCGTGGCATGGTCCTGAGAGCTCTCCACGATCAACATGGGCATCTCGGGGTGGACAAGACCTATGGCCTAGTACAAGATCGGTTCTATTGGCCTCGCATGAGGGAACATGTCGAGCAACATGTAAAGACATGCAGGAGGTGTATCCAGAGGAAGACCCTGCCTGTGAGAGCTGCCCCTATGGGTCATCTGAAAAGTACGGGACCCATGGATCTTGTGTGCATGGACTATCTCTGCATTGAGGACGATACAGCGGGAATTGGAAATGTGCTGGTGGTAACGGACCACTTCACCAGATATGCTCAAGCTTTCCCCACTAAAGACCAAAAGGCTGTGACTGTAGCCAAAGTCCTTTGGCAGAAGTATTTTATTCACTATGGACTACCCAATCGGCTACACTCTGATCAAGGTAGAGACTTTGAGAGTAAGTTGATAAAGGAGCTGTTAGGCATGTTGCAGGTGCAGAAGTCCAGAACCACACCTTATCATCCGGAGGGTGATGCACAGCCAGAACGTTTCAATAGGACCCTCCTAGATATGCTAGGGACTCTCAAGCAAATCGAGAAGCGGTCTTGGAGTAAACATGTGGAAACCATGGTCCACGCATACAACTGTACAAGGCATGAATCTACAGGGTTCTCACCCTATTTCTTAATGTTCGGAAGAGAAGCTCGATTGCCGATAGATGTCCGGTTGGGAGTGTCTCCTGATGGAACAGATTCAACTTCACACTTTCAATATGTGAGGAACCTCAAACAAAACCTTCGTCGGGCCTACGAGTTGGCCACCCAAGCTGCAGCAAAAATGGAAGAACGGAACAAAAGAAGATATGATGCTAAGGTGAGATATCGGGAGATTCAAGCAGGGGATAAAGTTCTTCTCCGGAATCTAGGTGTGCCTGGAAAACACAAACTGGCTGACAGATGGAAAGATACCCTGTTTGAGGTTGTGTCCAAACTGGAAGGACTGCCAGTGTACAACATTCGGGGCCCGGAGGGCCGAATAAAGGCTTGGCATAGAAACCATCTGCTTCCAGTTGTGTATACTGATGAAGAGGAAGAGAGTAGTGAAGAACTGGAGGAAACCCCAGCAGAGAGTCCTGGAAATGGGGCAGAGGAGACCCCGGGAACTCCCAGTGCAGAGGATCAGTGGTGGTCATCACCCGCTGAAGAAACACAACCATTGCCTCCTTTAACTCCTGTGGTTTCACAAAGTCCCGGAACCTCTCCTGGGTCACAAAGTTCTCCAAGGTTGAATCCAGAAAGTCCCTGTTTTGTGCCTGGAACTTCCCTTAAAAACTCTACTTCGAGGGCAGGAGTCGAAGTTCCACAGTTGATGTCCCAAGATCCTCTCCCCCAGCGAGAACTGAGACACAGCACCAGAGTGCGGCAACCCCCTAGGGCTCTAGTTTATGATAATATAGGAGAGCCCAGTTATGCCCCGCTGACACAAGCAGCATTTAAAATGGCCACTTTCCTACATGCACTAGCTGAAGTGGTAAATGTTAGTGATTGTTTACCCTAAATAACTAGCTAGCTAGGATGTTACTGTGCGAACTGTACTGTAGGTATGCTAAACCTTTTTCTGTTGAATTTTTGTTAAGCTCCCTGGCTAGGACTTGCCAGTGGAAGGCAAGTATTTTCAAGGGGGAGCATGTAGCCCGTGAAGTTACACAGGCTGCATTATCTGAAATGCCCAGTAGATGGCACATGGACTCAGTATGCTGTTAATAAAACATTGAGCTTTGATCACATGACTTGCTGAAATCAAGAGAGGAGTGTGGCATCATCGCAGGGCCTGTCAGGACTTCCTGCACAGCTCTGAGGGAGGAGGATTCTAAGAGTGACCACATGCTGAGCCAGAGAAAGGACATGTGAGAGACTGTAGCACAGAGATAGGACCTGGCTGAGAGAACTTGTTTCACCCAAGATCACACCAGCTGAGAGAGAGGGACCTGCAGGAAAGGAAAGAAGACAAGCACTGAGTCCAGACGTCTGGCGAATCCAGTGAGAGGAGACTGCTGCTGACTGACTGGTTAATTGTGTTGTGAGGGTAAGCCAAGCCTCTCCCTGTATCACCACAGGGCACCTGTCTCCTCACTCACAGTAAAGACTCTGAGGTCCTGTGACGGACATTACACATCTGAGGCTGCTTCAGTGACCCTGTGAAGCAGGACTTATAAGGGCCCCAACTCTCCTATGTGCACCAACGGCCGCTAGGGCGAAGATAAGGGGGTGGGGCGCAGGTGTGCTGGTGGGTGAGTGAGGAAAATCCCCATTTGCATTGTTATCTGTGTTACACTATTGTATTTTCCTATGTATGTTGGTTCAGTTGCTACTTTCCATATAAAGTTAGTCCCAGTTAGACTGTGTCAGTCTCATTGCACCAAGTATGTTCCCAGTGGGACCCCACATCCCTACCCCGGATGCTCCACTGGGTGGAGGCACTGCCGCAGACATGTACCCCAGCTCCCAAATAGCGGAGGCTCAGGATCCGCCTGTCAGGCATAGTGAGTTAACTAGGTTTGGGGACCCCAAAGACACTAGGGGGCACCCCCAAAACCCCGTTACATATATATATATAAAAACATGTATAAAAAAACAAGGAGAGGATAAAAAGATATATAAAAAGTAATCTATGTAAAATAACAAGTAAATAAAAACACAAAGAGGGAATAGTGGAAATCTGCTGAGAATACACATAGGAGGAATATTTAAGATAAAATGCATATATGTGGAGAGAATATGCATCAATGAAAACAATCTTAATTAAAAGGAAAACAACCATAATTTAAAATATATGAAATAAAATAAAAAATAAAAAATATGAAATAAGAACATACATTGTAAAAACATTGGTAGATGCATAAAAATTACACAGAATGTTATTCTTTATAGATATATTAACAGGAATTTGCAGAATATTTAAAAGGTCACGTCTGACTTTAGAGGTGCCAAAGTACCAGGGTTCTGTAAAATAAAAGCAGATGTGTAAAAACGCTAAAGACTGATTGGTACATAAAAATCACATAAAAAGTACATGTTAAGAATATTTTTACAGGAAATGAAAAAGATCAAAGTCTACATTTAACCCTTGAGGTGCCAAGGTGCCAAGATTAAATACCCAGTTTATTTCTTTTCTAAGTTTAAGTTTTGGTAGGTTACCACCTCGCCACGGGAGAGACACTTTCTCTATGGCATAGAATTTTAAAAGACTAGGATCTTTTTTATAAATTTAGACACAGAGTAGTTAATGTTGCCTTTTAAAAAATATATATTTCTGCCATGCTAAGCAATGCAAGTTTTTAAATTTCTTCTGGTCATGCCGACATATTATAATATACAAGGGCATTCCAATACATAAATGACGTTTGTGGAATTACAGGTAATAAAGCCTTTTATGTTGTATTCACAAGGTGAGTGCTTAGATCTAAAAGTAGTAAGCTTGGTGAAATCATTGTTGGAACTCCTGCATCCTAGGCATCTTTAGCATGTCTAAAAAACATTATGTTGCTTAAAAAAGGAGAAAGAGGAATTTGAACTAATTTTTTTGGTAATTTTTGGTAAGGCACATTTTTAGGTTTGGGACATCCTTTAAGTGAATGACATCTTAAAAATGATTTTACCAGACAAACTGAATATTGTGCTTAGGGGTGCCCCAAACCTAAAAATGTGCCATCTTGCCTGTTTCCACCCCTCCCCCCCTTAGTGGCCTCATTGATCTTCTCTCAGTTAGGAGACCAGCATGATATGATCTCCATGATCTCCCAGCCGATCAAGGAACACAGCCATTTTGGAAAATTTAGAGTCTGCAGTTCACAGAACTAGGAGTAATAGCTGCTTGTTTTCATAAGGGACTGGCTCCCTTCATCTCCCCAATCCCTTTCAAATATACCCAAGTTGTCTAATTAATTAAATACTTGTGCCTCCACGATGGCCATCTTGGTGTCCCCATTCATTATACTGTCCATGCTCAAAAATCTGGAGCTGAATATAAGCTCCAGAAAATTATAAGTGCAATTTTCCTTTATTTACTATCACCAGCAGTCTGATATACTACACTATAATTGTCTTCTCTCCCTCCCCCCCCCATATTGCCCTGAGCTTAAAAAGACTACCATAGGCATTGTTTCCAGACACTACCTTCTATTATATTTGTTTGTTTAAGAAATACAAATGGATCCATTACGACTGCAGATTTAATAAATGAATGCTTTTTATAAAAAATAAATACATTTCTATTGGTGCATAGGCTAATGAAATGTGCTATGTGTACGGCAAGGTAAAATGTATGAAAATGAGAAAATTACTCGCCTAAAATACAATCTGTATCTAGCCACATGTATGTACATGCATTATGTGAAGTATTCTGACAGTAAAAGAATTAAATAGGGAACATACCCTGAGACAACATGTTATGTGTAAAACAACATTATAGTCTTAATGCTTCTAAAATATGTGTTTTTAGAATTTAAAAAAAAATGTAAATTGAATGAAGTCTCAATTCAAACCAAAAGTTCTAAAGTTATATTAAACATTTAATAGTAATCTTTTTCGATACTCAGATGTATTAACTTTCAGCTCTTTCAATCAAATCTAAGTGAAAAAACAGATCTAAAGTAATTTTTGATAAGTTTTTACCTTTGTTTATGGTTTTATTTTGGGACTTTTTCACTGCAGGTCAAATTACAGGAGATTATTTGATTGATATTTCTTCTGGCTGTAACATTCACCATCTATTGCCCATGTTTGAGTTGTTCAAAGACATCACTATTTTAGAATTTAGTGATCTCTGTTTGAAGGAACTAGTGAAATGGAAGCATAGGGAGTCAGAAAACTATGACTGGACTCATGCCTTATCGATTATGAAAGAATTGCAAGGTTCAAGGTAAGGATCATGCTAACAGTCCTGTTTTTGCTGACTATAGATGTATAGTTAATTACTGTGACCGACCACCTGGCACCCCGACTGGGTACCTCTGCCAATTTACTCTTCCTAGCTGACCCTGAGAACCATAAGCACCGCACCGGACACTGTAAGCACCGTAGACCCCACGAACCGCGCAGCTTGGTTGGGGTCTCGCCGTCTCTTCCCACCCTGGACCAAACTCCTGGATCCCGGGACTCAGTGGGAAGGCCTCTCCTCCAAGAGAGTTTATCTGTGAAGCTCTTACACAAGCTAGTAGTGATGGCAGTATAACAAGAACTCTTTGTATAACAGTAGAACTCTGTGTTGAGGGTAAAGTAAGACTGAATTTTAATGATGCCACACTGGCCTTTTATGACAATCCCCATGCAAGGGGTACGCCCACATGGACCTTGTTGGGGACTCCAGCACAAAGACACAGACCAATAAGAACAGTGATTAAATACACAACACTCCCATAACAAACATACAATCCATCTTCTCTGCCTGGGAGATAATTGAGTCAGATACTGTATCAATTCAAAAAACTCCAGGTAGAAAAAAACACATATTTTTAAAAAGTCCCAAAAGTACCCCAAAACACATAGTATCCCCACAAATGTTACATCCCCTGATAGCCCTGATCAGGCTCACCAAAATGTCCAAAAATCACCCAGATCAGTTCAGGAATTCAGGAATTTTATGTAAATCATTTATTTGACCGACCGCAGGCATGGTCCCATAGCCGAAAGTAGTTCCATAGAATCATGACTAAGTGCCGCTGGAGGACCGACCGGGAACCACAAGGTTTTCATGCCGAAAATAGTTCCAGGGCATTCACGGCTAAGTCCCCCTGAAGTCTATTCGCGGTTTTGGTCTATGCAAACAAGATGGCCGTAACCTTGTGGTCGAATGGCACTTCGAATGGCTTTGGGAGTTCGAAGTGCCGCTTCGAAAATTCAAATTGATCCTGTTATAAGTCTCAACAGTCACAAATAACATTTTCAACCAGGGTTTAGTCAAAGGGTAGGAGGATGGCAAGTATGCCCCAAGGACCTGTGATGAGGTCCAATTCATCACAATTACTTTATTAAAACATAAGAAGTTATTGGGAATTAAATGACAAACCTATCCATGTAGTAGATCAGGGACAGAATTCAGGTCTTTTTGAATATTTATTAATTGTTTATATTCTCTGTCACATAGACATTCACATATCTCAAAAGAATGGATGGTCTCTCTATACAGACATTGGTTCTTAATGTGTGATTAGTGAAATGTAATAAAACAATAAACAGTCCGCCGCTTCCCAAATGTAGAGTGCTGTTATTTTGATAACATTTTATTATCAATTTACAAAATAAGAATAAATAGATTATTTTCCGTGTGCATAGCCCTACTATACTTTAGGTAACAAAATCAGTAGCATGATGCCTGAGCTTTGTAATCCTATTGAAGAGGCATTGTCTTCAGGGGAAATATACCCAGCTGCTTTTGGCATCAGATGTTCATTAAGTTCATTAAGTGTGTTTATTTTTACATACATGTTTATGTCTAATTGTTATGTTTAATTTTTGTAATATCAAATAATATTTTGGATATACTGCTATCAGTCTTTTTAATAGGATTGGAAAATTCAAACATTATTTTCTTCATGGATGATGCACCTCATCATGTATCCTTGATGACACTTTCCCACAGTATGCACGAGTGTATCACAGAGATCCTAAGCAATAAAACACTCTTAAGTTAAATCACGGTGTGTATGAGTGTATCACAAAGCTCAACAGACATAAACCTGTGAGCAATGATCAGTGTGTATGAGTGCACTACAGAGCTCCATAGTAATACATTTCACAATCTTACCAAAACAAAACTCTCAGGAATAGTTTATCAGAGTAATGAAAACACACATTCTATGTGTGCAGAATAAGGGTGGAAAATAAAAAGCAAAAAAAAAGTTAAAATATATATAAATTTAAATGAATGTAACAATAAAAAAATAACTAAGTAATCTCTCACAGGTGGTATACAGGGAGTGCAGAATTATTAGGCAAATTAGTATTTTGACCACATCATCCTCTTTATGCATGTTGTCTTACTCCAAGCTGTATAGGCTCGAAAGCCTACTACCAATTAAGCATATTAGGTGATGTGCATCTCTGTAATGAGAAGGGGTGTGGTCTAATGACATCAACACCCTATATCAGGTGTGCATAATTATTAGGCAACTTCCTTTCCTTTGGCAAAATGGGTCAAAAGAAGGACTTGACAGGCTCAGAAAAGTCAAAAATAGTGAGATATCTTGCAGAGGGATGCAGCACTCTTAAAATTGCAAAGCTTCTGAAGCGTGATCATCGAACAATCAAGCGTTTCATTCAAAATAGTCAACAGGGTCGCAAGAAGCGTGTGGAAAAACCAAGGCACAAAATAACTGCCCATGAACTGAGAAAAGTCAAGCGTGCAGCTGCCACGATGCCACCAGTTTGGCCATATTTCAGAGCTGCAACATCACTGGAGTGCCCAAAAGCACAAGGTGTACAATACTCAGAGACATGGCCAAGGTAAGAAAGGCTGAAAGATGACCACCACTGAACAAGACACACAAGCTGAAACGTCAAGACTGGGCCAAGAAATATCTCAAGACTGATTTTTCTAAGGTTTTATGGACTGATGAAATGAGAGTGAGTCTTGATGGGCCAGATGGATGGGCCCGTGGCTGGATTGGTAAAGGGCAGAGAGCTCCAGTCCGACTCAGACGCCAGCAAGGTGGAGGTGGAGTACTGGTTTGGGCTGGTATCATCAAAGATGAGCTTGTGGGGCCTTTTCGGGTTGAGGATGGAGTCAAGTTCAACTCCCAGTCCTACTGCCAGTTCTTGGAAGACACCTTCTTCAAGCAGTGGTACAGGAAGAAGTCTGCATCCTTCAAGAAAAACATGATTTTCATGCAGGACAATGCTCCATCACACGCGTCCAAGTACTCCACAGCGTGGCTGGCAAGAAAGGGTATAAAAGAAGAAAATCTAATGACATGGCCTCCTTGTTCACCTGATCTGAACCCCATTGAGAACCTGTGGTCCATCATCAAATGTGAGATTTACAAGGAGGGAAAACAGTACACCTCTCTGAACAGTGTCTGGGAGGCTGTGGTTGCTGCTGCACGCAATGTTGATGGTGAACAGATCAAAACACTGACAGAATCCATGGATGGCAGGCTTTTGAGTGTCCTTGCAAAGAAAGGTGGCTATATTGGTCACTGATTTGTTTTTGTTTTGTTTTTGAATGTCAGAAATGTATATTTGTGAATGTTGAGATGTTATATTGGTTTCACTGGTAATAATAAATAATTGAAATGGGTATATATTTGTTTTTTGTTAAGTTGCCTAATAATTATGCACAGTAATAGTCACCTGCACACACAGATATCCCCCTAACATAGCTATAACTAAAAACAAACTAAAAACTACTTCCAAAAATATTCAGCTTTGATATTAATGAGTTTTTTGGGTTCATTGAGAACATGGTTGTTGTTCAATAATAAAATTAATCCTCAAAAATACAACTTGCCTAATAATTCTGCACTCCCTGTAAATAAGTCTCCAATTAATCAAAACATCATAAATCAACTTCCCCATGTTTGTTTTTTACTTTATTGATCCAAAAGGTTTCTTTCATCCTATTACTCTTTCTTTAGCTTACCAGTGACAAAAAAAGTGATATCCCCAAAAATGCAAGCTTTCTTAAGTAAAATATGAAGAGTATATTTATGATTCTTAATTTAATCCGTAATAATATTAAGCAATAATACACCCCCTCACACTCACATATATAAATATGCATATATATTTATAGTGTTATGCATTACTTGCACCCAGGTGGTAATCAAGGTCAACAATATAGGAAGAAATATTTTTACCTAAATATATACATAGACATGTTATAATATTTGTTTACATATACTGTAACGGTTTTATGTAGTGGTTGTGTTACTTAGACTGTTTCTTTGTAGATAAAAATTTAACCTCACCCTTTAACCCCCTTGTAGAAATTAACATTACCACTTGCCTTCACTGTCAATCACAGTGATGATTCATGTAACTTTTTGTGAAGATACATTCTGATTTATTGTGAAGACATTCTTCACCAGAAAAGAAACAGCATCATTTATGACGGAGTGTCAATTCTAGTCTTTAGGAAGGTCGCATGCATGGGTTTCAGTATGACCTCATATGATGTACGTAGAAAACATAGCAGCTCCGTTAGTCCAACCTTTACGTAACATAATATAGCTTAGTAATACAACCTCATGTCATGCATTGTTATAATAATTACATAAATATAACAAATATGGGACTTCTGAAACAGTTCAACACATTGATTGTCTGAAACAAATCCCTTTGATTCGTATTAAAACTCATCAATTTGTTCTGAAACTAAATGGAAAATTCCAGCCCATAAATACGACCATCAAATTAATCGATATGTTTATGGACAAACCGAACATTTGCACAAGTCTAATAGATATGTTGAACAATTTGGCAAGACTTATTTCCAAATAAGTAAAAATCAATTCTGCTTATAAACACATACTACAGATCACGTGTTATATGTGTCTCCATTGTATGTATGTATTAAACTTTTAGCCACCTGGTTATATTTTTCAGCTTTAAGGGCAATGAAATGGAAAACGCTTTAAGAAGAAATATCTCACACATTCTAAAATGTGATTTCAACAAGGAAAATATTACAGATCCAGTTGTTCTACCAAAAGCAGACTGCGTGGTCAGTTTTTTAGTTTTCCATCTGGTTTCTGAAGATCTAGACGAATACTGCCGGAACCTGAAAAAAGTTTCATGCTTGCTAAAACTTGGTGGGCATCTGCTGCTATTTGGATTATTTAATGGAACATATTGCACCATAGGTGGGAGCAAATATCACATATTAACATCTGATAAAACGTCTGTAGAAGAGGCTCTGAGAGATGCAGGATTTGTTATCGAACACCTGGAAGTGATAGAAAGCAAAATACGCAATGATACAACATATTGGGAACATTTGTTTTTTATTAAGGCCTTAAAAGAGAGCAATGTAGTTGTTTAAAATGGGACTTCACCTAATGTTCAATCTGAAAGGGAATGCATACTTGAGAATAAATTCTCTCTTTTCAGAATGCATTATATAACTAACACACTTAATAAATTTTTGTTAACAAAATAACTTAATACATTTAACTTTTTTTAAATTTCCTAATGCATGCTACTGACAATTGCACAACACAGTAGTGGACAAACCCTCTTTCAGCAAGAATTTACTTATGAATCAGGATCTACATCTTGTATACTATAGGATCTGCTCTTATCTCTATCTGGGAATGAACATGCACTCAGTACAAGATTTTGCACAACACAAAATAACACTGACACAGGTAGCCTGGAACTCAATATCCCAACTGCCTTAGTGAAAACCATAACAGTGATAGATTGAATGTTGCTTTTTTTCGTTCTCACAGTTGTAGAAAAAAACAACACATTTATGTTCTTTGGAACATTTATTTAGATTGTTAGCATTCGTGCAGAACTGTCAAAATCTACTATGTTGCTTATTGAATATATACTGTTATATAAATAAATAAATATATTACTACAAATAATGGTAGTTTTTTTTACTTATTTAAATTGTTACATAAATAACAAATGACACCAAATACAATTTAAAACAGTTTTTATTATTTTTTTTAAAATGTATTATTGTCTTCAACTTGATTTTATTTTATACCTTCTTCGTTTTACGAGAATGTACATGGAAAGATAAGCCAACAATATTGGAATATATGTTTATAGAATGTATGATGTTCAATACAGTTATTACTTAAAAACTATATGAAACAAATTAGGAATAAAATAGTGAATAAACAAGGAGAATAAAACTATCTTATTTAAGTCAACATAAAACTTCTAGAAATTAAATTAAAGGGATGCAATTAAAGGGACACTATAATCATCAGAAAAACTATGGCTTAATGTAGTTTTTCTGGTGTTTATATCCTGTCCCTGCTGTTTTCTGTAAACCCTGCCTTTTTACAGAAAATGCAGTGTTTACCTTGCAGCCAAGAAACACTTCTAGTGGCTGCTCCTCAGAGGGCATGTGTAGCTCGGATGCTGATCTTTCCTCATAGAGATGCATTGATTCAGTGCATCTCTATGAGGAGATGGTGATTGGCCAGGGCTGCCTTTTACTCTGCCCTTGTTCTGCCTTCTTGGTTGAAATTATCAGAATTGACTATCTCAGCCAATGCAAGGCTTTACTAGCATTGTGATTGGCTGAGATCCTTACTTCTGATGATGTTGTAAAGGACTGCGGAAAAAGTAGGCAATATATAAATGCAAATGTACACAGAAACACACATTGGTTTAGAATGAGTAAATGCTTTCCACAGTTCCCAATTCATTGAATTGCTATGAATTCCCCCACTACTTTTGATGGAGATTGGTGCAAGTTTAGCTCATTGTCTGACACTTTCAGCCAATAAGCTAACCATGCACTGTTGGGGAGAAACATCTGGTATATTCGCAATGTTAGGGGTAAAACCATTTTAAAGGGGGTTATGGTGATTGAATTTTTCCTAAAATTTAAATAGTTTTATTTGCCCACCGATTGGATGCAGCACTGAATGGGTTAAAATGTACTTGTACTTGTTGACCTTAGCATGCATGCCTTTGACCTTAAGTCCTGAGTGAGTGGATTCAGAATTTGTTTCGAGCAGCTTTAGATTTGTAGTAAAATGTATTAAACAATAAGACAATAAGGCAATATGGAAATAAGTTGCAAGTTTTACCAAAGGTTCCACAAGGTTTGCACAGTCTGTGCAAAAAGTAATTATTTCTCACATCTTATAAAGTCTTTTAGAATTTACACAATGACATAGTACTCTTGTTATCGCAGGTTTCAGCAAAATTTGCTTCCAATAAAATGGCCCCTGTAGTGCAGGGGTAGGTAACTCCAGGTGTTGTGGACTACACTTGCCATAATACTCTTACAGACATAATGCTGGCAAAGCATCAGGAGACATGTAGTCCACAACATCTGAAGTTTCGAAGGTTGCTGACCCCCGCGAGTGTATATTTTTTTGACATTGCTTATTTGTTAATTGTTTTTTTCTTTATTTGCAGAGCTAGAGAGAGAGATATACTTCTTGACTTTCTTCTGTGACTTGAAAATCAAGGTGTACACAATAGACAGCTGGATATTTTTGGGGAAGGTAGAAAGTGCATGAAAATTCTGTGCTGCATTCTGCTGCATTGAGTTGGATTTCAATCCTTCCTTAATGATTTATTGATAAAGAAGGCTCTAAAAAGACATACTTCCTGAAATCATCATGTATTGACAAGAGAATTACAAAATGTGGGGTATTTTGACTCAAAATTTTGCATTTCTATTGTAAGTTGGTCACATTTCGCTCTTTAGTAAATAACCCTCTAAGATATCAGTGTAATTTTTAAGAGGTTATCTGAGTGATTACTTAAAAAATAAATTATTTGATCAGCTGAAGTCATGAGCACATTGAAATATATCCGTGTTGATATTGACTCAAGATATGTCTCGTGTTGGTTAGTCAACAGGATTCACTAACTGATAATGTTAATTAACAAAGTATCTAACAGCTTGCTGGTGGCTTGCTGGTGACCTTAGAACGCTACAGACATTCAGAATGGACCCTAGCTCTTACAAACGCTATCATCTACATGAATGGGAACCAACAGACAGGTTTAATGCATATTATTCTGGAACAACGGAAAAGTATATCACTGACAAGACCGTAAGATTTCCAATGCAACAGCTTTATAAGGTGGCAGGGAAAGGTATGTTCAGTTTAATATATTAATACATTTAAAAATATTTCACAATTTCATTAGTATTATATATATATATATATATATATATATATATATTTTTTTTTTTTTTAATTCTTTATTTTTTGTAGTGCATAGAGTAACATACAGGACATCATAGTAAAACAATGCTTTCAAAAGAAAATAGTAGCTTAGTACATCAAAGGTAATGCACTTTTTGTGTAATGGTATACGCACTATGCACAGTCTGTCAGCCTGTAGCAGGGTGCAAATTTACGTTATAAGCGACAACAGGTGTGTGGTGGAAATCATAAGAGCAAATAAGGAATAAAAGTAGAGTGAAACATACTTCTTGTCTATGAGTGTAAGCTTCTAGGAGGCCCCCAATCAGGTTAAAAACATAAGCCCAGCAGGAGATAGGGAAATATAAATAAACTGCTGGCTATATTATTATTATTATTATTTTATTATTTATATAGCGCCAACAAAGTCCGTAGCGCTGTACAATGGGTGGACTAACAGACACATAATTGAGATCAGACCACTGACGTACAGGAACAGAGGGGGTTGAGGACCCTGCTCGATGAGCTTACATGCTAGAGGGAGTGGGGTATAGTGACACAAAGGGTTAAAGTAGGGGAATTAAATAGTTTGTTACAGAACTTTGTTATTGAGTGCTTGGTAGGTCATTTTTGACAGGTGCAGGAATGGAGTCATGGGGTGGGGGATGAGAAACCTGCTGACAGTTTAATCGATACAATTTAATGAAGAAGTGAGTTTTCAAAGATTTTTTGAAGGAGTGGAGGCTGGGTGAAAGTCTGATTGAGGAGGGAAGGGAGTTCCACAGAATAGGTGCAGCCCTGGAGAAGTCTTGAAAGCGAGCATCAGAGGTGGGAATCTGGGCAGAGGATAGGCGTAGGTCTTGGGCTGAGAGCGCAGGGGTCTCAACAGGACATACTTGTGTATGAGGGAGGATAGGTATGTTGGAGCAGCATTATGTAGGGATTTGTAAGCAAGCAACAGAATTTTGAATTGGGCCCTATATCTAACTGGAAGCCAATGCAGGGACTGACAGAGCGTGGAGGCGTGAGAGGTGCGACCGTACTGGAAAATAAGCCTCGCAGCCGCATTCATTATAGATTGCAGTGGTGCAAGCTGGGAACATGTAAGACCGGTGAGAAGGGGATTGCAATAGTCAAGGAGAGAGAGAACAACAGTACCTTAGCCGCGTCCGGCGTTAGATATGGGCGGATGCGCACTATGTTCTTGAGTTGGAAGCGACAGGATTTGGCTATCGATTGAACATGGGGAGTAAAAGAGAGATCAGAGTCAAAAAGTGCAGATGAGATGCGAGGGAATAGGATCGAGGGAGCAGGTGGTGGGGCGGGAGGACAGGAGCAGAGCAGAAACATCTTGTGCTGTAGCAGGTGCAAATGAGCTTAGGATGGCAGGGGGAGTGGGGTTGGGTGATGTATTGATACTGGTTGGAGAAAGATTAGAGATCTCTTTCCTGATTGTAGAGATCTTCTCAGTGAAATGAGATGCAAAGTTTGTGGTGGACAAGGTGGTGGAAGGAGGGGGAGTCACAGGGCGAAGAAGTGCATCAAAAGTGTGAAACAGGTGTTTGGGATGGTGGGACAGTGTGCTTATGAGGGTGTTGAAGTAGCTTACTTTTGCAGAGGAAAGAGCCATGCTGTAGGAGCGCAGCATAAATTTATAGTGGACAAAGTCAGATGCAAAGTGAGACTTTCTCCAGCAGCGTTCAGCAGTTCTGGAACATTTTTGGAGGTAACGGGTCAGCTTGGTGTGCCAGGGTTGTAGTTGGGGGCGCTTGCTGCGTTTAACTGTAAGAGGTGCCATGATGTCAAGTTGAGAGGAGAGAGTGGAGTTGTAGAGTGTGTTCTTGGTGTTCTTGGGGCATCACACAAACATATGGTAGACCTGCTTCCAGCTGCAACTTCATCCTATGACTTGCAGGAGCCTAACATAGATTTTCCACTGGAGTCCTGGTACTAGGTCCATAAGCTCACAGGGGTTGTGATGCGCGATCACCGTGTGGCAATCAGGTTAGTCCCGTGTGATATTAAGCGGTACGGTAGTCATGCAGCTTGTGCCCCATGATAAGTCGTAAAGTGTGTCTTTGCACCAGTTGGGTCTGGGCTTGGTTGATGCCGCCCTCCAGATCCACAACTACACTTTGTGAGTAAGTATAAGCTCACCAAGCTAGCTTACCCCACTGGGTCATTCTGCCCAGAAGTATAGAGGAATTCTATGACATATCCTCCGACCGGCTGGAGTATTCTAGCATCTGTAGAAGTTGCTTCCCAATTTGAGAAAAAAGGTAGCCCTTGGTTACATCATGAGAGCGTTGAAAAAGGAGAAATTTACAAATATACCTGTTTCTTCAGTAACGTTAGGAACCACTCTCTGAACAGGAGATCATTAGCCAATGGACCCCATTCATTTTTCCCAACTCTATGCCCCGTTTTTAGTGCTCAGTATGCCAATAGTTTGTTGCGCTAGTTTTCTGTAGTGTTGTGCTACGTTGTTGGGGAGAAGTGAGTGAGGGCGTGCGGCTTGGAGTCGAACACGCCGTCTTATTTTCATAGGCTTTGTAACTAGAAGCGTATGAATCTGGCAGCCCCATTTCGACGATCTCTGTGTGTTTTCCGACCGTGCGGCAGTCAAGCCATTGGAACACACTGGGTGTTGAGAAATATCGTCCTCTTTTCTGTCTGCGGATTTGCAGGAGACCTCTCCTTTGACCGTGGATATTCAGGAATCTTCCTTATAAAAGGGAGGTTAGGCCATTTCAAACAATCTTTTGGGCATATCGGGGATCCGTTTCCGGGCTCGCCTTTAATTATTTGAGGGTCCGTGATGGTATCCTTCCCTTATCATTTGGATATGGGTGCTTGGTCTTATGGGGCCTGGTAGCTCATAAGTTCATTGGCAGGTGGGGCACCGTGGCTCACCATCTCTGGAAGATCCTGACCATCTCTGGAAGATCTTGGGGATTGCTGTTTCAACTGAGGCTGCAACTGCGGCATTTAACATAGGCTGAAAGTCTTGAGTGAGAGGCTGAGTGAGTTTCTAGTGATGTGTGTCTGGTGAACCTTTCGGTCTGCGGAGTATATCCAATGTTCAGGTACCTGTGTAAATGTGTTAGGACACATAGTGCCCCTCTACGTATAACTGAGGATCACCCTGGGTATCAGGCAATCACAGCCCACTGTAAGTGAGGCAGTAATGGCAGACAGCCAGAAGAGGGGGTCACCCTATATGTGACCAGGAACAACTGTCAAGTTAAAATGGGGTGGTAACCACTGTGAAATAGGTAGACATAAGGAGTCTTAATACAGTGTTAGGGATTCACCCTTATGTCCCACTAAGTTGGGGTCAGTACCACTGAGTATGTGTGGAATAGATGTGTCCCATAGTTGCATCATAGAGATTGGTATGGTACTGTTCCGGCATGCAGTCCATATATAGCACCAAGAATGGGGGTCACCACATATTACGGTGTCTCAGGGATGTTAGAGTGCTTGGGGGGTCACCCTTGGAAACTGTTCACCATTACTTGGCATGTATATATAAATATGCTGGGGTTCACCCTAGCTATAGGGAGGTCACCCCAATTATAATAATAATGTGCGTAGCAATCCCTTGGGGAATGCACTTCTGTGAGTGGGGGGTCACCCCAGTAGTGAAGGGGGTCACCCCAATAATAAAGTGCGTTGAAATCTGTTGGTGAATGCACATCTGTGAAAACCCTGAAGACGCCTTTGTGAGTGCACCAAGACCATTATCAGATCCATAGACGGGGATTGTACCATCCAGGCGCATATATCTGGAGCTGAATATAAGCTCTAGAAAATTGTAAGTGCAATTTTCCTTGATTTACTATCACCAGCAGTTTGGTATACTACACTATATTTGTCTTCTCTCCCTCCCCCCCCATATTACCCTGAACTTGAGAAGACTACCATAGGCATTGCTTCCTGACACTATCTTCTGCTTTATTTGTTTGTTGAAGAAATACAAATGGATCCATTACGACTGCAGATTTAATAAATGTATGCTTTTTATAAAAAATAAATAAATTTCCTTTGGTGCACAGGCTAATGCAATGTGATATGTGTATGGCATGGAAAAATGTATGAAAATTAGATAATAACTCGCCTAAAATACAAGCTGTATCTAGCCACATGTATTTACATGCATTATGTGAAGTATTCTGTCAGTAAAATTTTTTAGTAGGGAACATACCCTGAGAAAATATGTTAAGTGTGAAACAACATTATAGTCTTAATGCTTCTAAAATATGTGTGTTTTTAGGATTTAAAAAAATAAAAATAAATTGTAAATTGAATGAAGTCTCAATTCTTCTAAAATTAAGCAACCATAGGAAAGCCCTGTTGGCTAGCTTGGAGGTCGAGTTGGCTAAGATGAAGAACAAAGGTTCTAAAGTTATAATAAATATTAAATAGTAACTTCAAATGTATTAAATTTCAGCTCTTTTAATAAAATCTAAGTTAAAAAACAGATTTAAAGTAATTTTGGATATGTTTTTACCTTTGTTTATGGTTTTATTTCGGGATTTTTTTCACTGCAGGTCAAATTACAGGAGACTATTTGATTGATATTTCTTCTGGGTGTAACATTCACCATCTATTGCCCATGTTTGAGTTTTTCAAAGACATCACCATTTTAGAATTTAGTGATCTCTGTTTGAAGGAACTAGTGAAATGGAAGTATAGAGAGTCAGAAAGCTATGACTGGTCTCATGCCTTATCGATTATGGAAGAATTGCAAGGTTCAAGGTAAGGATCATGCTAACAGTCCTGTTTTTGCTGACTATAGATTTATAGTTAATTATTGTGATGGACCATCTGGTACCCTGACGGGGGACCTGCCCCAATCAATGCTTCCTATGGGACCACGCCTGCAGTCGGTCAAATAAATTACTTCCATAAAATTCCGGAATCCCTGAACTGATCTGGGTGATTTTTGTATATGTTGGTCACCCTGATCAGGGATATCAGAGGATGTAACATTTGTGAGGATATTATGTGTTTTGGGATACTTTTGAGATATTTTAGAAACATGTGTTTTTTTCTGCTTGTAGATAATTGAATTGATACAGTATCTGACTCAATTATCTCCCAGGCAGAGAGGAGGGATTGTATGTTTGTTATGGAGTGTCGTGTATTTAATTACTGTTCTTATTGGTCTGTGTCTTTGTGTTGAAGTCCCCAACAAGGTCCATGTGGGCGTACCCCTTGCATGGGGATTGTCATAAAAGGCCAGTGTGACACCATTAAAATTCAGTCTTACTTTACCCTCAACACAGAGTTCTACTGTTATACACAGAGTTCATGTTATACAGCTATCACTACTAGCTCTTGTAAGAGCTTCACAGCTATACTCTCTTGCTGGAGAGGTGAGAACCCAACCAAGCTGCGGCGGTTCGTGGGGTCTAATTTAACAGTAAAAAAATAAATAACAAAGTGTTATAGTAATCTCTCAAAGGTGGTATAAATAAGTCTCAAATTAATCAAGACACCATAAATCAACTTCCACATTTAGGCGATAGGATTAGATGTTTTTTACTTTATTAATCCAAAAGGTTTTACTATGTGCCAGGTTTCTTTCATCCTACTACTCTTTCTTTCGCGTACCTGTGACAAAAAAGTGATATCCCCAAAAATGCAAGCTTTCTTAAGTAAAATATGAAGAGTATATATATGATTCTTAATTTAACCCCTTTAGACCGGAGGACGTACAATTACGCCCTATTTTAGGCGGCTCTAAACGCCGCCTGGCGTAATTGTACGCCCTCCGGTTTTTGTTCACTTACCCGTGGGACCGCCGACGATCGTGGTGGGGGGGACTCCCAGGGAGCCCCCCCAAGGCAGATCCTTCTCCTCCGGTGACCCCCGGCCATGTGAGAGTGGGGTCCTAGCGAGGACCCCACAATCACATGGCCGGGGATAGCTGGCTTCTGTATTGCCAGCAGGGGGGCTGCCTGTAATGACAGGTGGTCCCCCTGCTGGCTGAAAATAAAATTAAAATAAAATGTATTAGTGTAAAAAAAATATATATATATACTTAGATCATATATATATTTATTGATCTAAGTATATATATACACATATACATACACACACATACACTGTCTAGGTGTATTTTACTATTAATATATATATATTAATATATATATATATTAATATCAAATTACACGTAGACTGATACTGGTTAAATATATATATAATTATTGTTATATATATATTTATATATAATATAAAAAAATTAAATATGTAAATACGTTAAAAAATAAAATTAAAAAAATAATTTTAAAAAAATAATTTACAAATATATAGATGTGTGTTATTTCGTTCTAACTGTATTGTGATATTAATATATATATATTTATATCAAAATACATGTAGAACGAAATAATATATATATCTACATACATAAATATATACGTATATATCACTATATATATATCTATATATAAATAAAAATGTTTTTAAAAAATTATATATATATATATATATATATACACATATAGATTCACATACGTATATATATACATATATTATTTCTACATATATATTTATGTAATATTTTTACATAATTAGGTATCTTAATTAATTACAATTAGCGGGACCTGCATGACAACCCATGCCGAAAGTAAAGGGAATTTAATTGGCTAGCACTATATTTAACCCTATAACTTTCCAAGACAACATAAAACCTGTACATGGAGGGTACTGTTCTACTCGGGAGACTTCGCTGAACACAAATATATGTTT